ATGGCACCGGATACTGGTACCCATCCCTAGTTGCAATAAAGGGAACGTATGCAATTGAAAAGCCTACGTTTCCAAAAGACCACTGTGTGTAGTTCCACTTCACGTCAGGGAAAATGTTCTGAGACTAAATTTGAGCATTTTTGGTTTTTGAACAAATTTTAATTCATCAACTCCAAAACATAATCATGATGATCTGAGATCTGAAGTTTAAGTCTGATGAGTAAATTAACAACAGAATGGTTGAAAAGAAGAGTTACTGAGGTGTTCAGTGAAGAAATCGCAAAAATACCGAGGACCTAAAACCCTTCTTTAAGAGGAATGCTCAAATTCTTCCTTAATTACTGCAAAAGTCCTGTAATTACATTAATCTTGTCTTGCAATTGTTCAGGAACTTCACAAAACAGATATGTGCGTGAAATAAAGGTAGTTTTTCCAAGAGTTCTCAGTATAGATTCCCTCAAAGGCTCTTACAGTGGGGGAAACAGTTACTTGATGATGAGCCCTCGCTGTTGCCTTACCAAAAAAACAGAGGAGAAAAACAAGAACAGTATCTAATTTTTATTGCAGTTTTATTTTAATGCAGCAATACAGAACTACAACTATTTTATTTGTAAATGGGAGAAATCTAAAATGGACATCTTTCCAGATAGAGGACGGATGATTATCGTATCTCGTGGGGTGGGGATGATCATGAGAAAGGTGGTAGATCAGTCCAAAGCTTGGAGCTTGTTAATGATCTGAAGGCAGCTGGGAACACGGTGACCAAGAACCTTGTTGGTAACGCACCATGCTGTAATGGATTGAAATCTTGCAACGCCAACAAGGTCCCCCTGCTCAAGAAGGTACATATACAGTTTAACAGTGAACATCTAGATGATTCAGAGAACGCTTGGGGGAAAAACGTGAAACCAAAATTGAACTCTATGGCATCAACTCAGCCGTTTTTTGACAGTGATCAAACACATACTGCAAAGACAATAAGAGAGTTGACAAAGAAGCACATTAAGGTCATGCACTGCCCTACTCAGTTTCCAGACCTCAGTTATATAAAAAATCTGTGGATGGAGCTGAAGCAGGCTTTAAGTTGCTGAGTGGCAGCCAAGAAACCTAAAAGATTTAGTGAGTTCATGTGAAGTGGTCCAATCAGTTTGTATCTTAACTGTAATTCCTTTTGTCTGGACTTTAGGTTGCTGTTCTGTGTTTTTCCCCTGAAATAAAAACCACCATAAAAGTTAGAAACTGATCATTTCTTTATAAGCAAACTTTCCAATTCAGCAGGGGATCAAACAATTATTTCCCCCACTGTACATTTAATGACACGTTTACCAAATGTAGTGTGTAGCATCACTTTTCAAACCTTGTAGTCTGTTTCCTTTTAGGGACATCGAGGTATGTGTGTGCTTGTGTTAGCTGATTCCAGAGTGGATTGGTGTTTGTTGCTATGGCACGTAACTTGCATCATTTTTAGGAGCCAGGTCACATGACCAGACATAGGTAAGGCCCGGACACAGAGCGATTGGGTTGTTTATCTATTGAGTGTTCGTTCTGCTCGTTTCCAGGCAGTGGAGGAGTTACTGGAGTCTTTGGAGCTGGAGAAGAGTAACTACCACATGGGGCTCAGCAGGGTGAGTGACGCCTCATGCAAACACTTTTCATCTCAATGTACTTCTACTATTGCAAACTCAACATTTCCCTCACAGTACTAATTCTTTTTGTGGTGATCCTCAGACTCCCCTCTTTTTTATTGCAATCCTAAAATCCAGTTGTGTCTTCTTTGTTGTCTTTACATTTGTTGTTGAAAATTAGATTTTTGTGGGTTTTCATCATCACTTTCTACACTGATGTTGATCAGCTTATCGTCTGGCTGTTGCTGCTTTGTGTTGCTGTGAAAGAGCAAGAAAAAGTATTCAAATTCAAAAACCTTTTTATGCTTTGGCCCTTGCAGTTAAACAGATAATTAGAACACATTTTCATTCTACTCACTAGCTTGTCTAGCAAAAGGGGCGACAGGCTCTCTGTTTCTTTTCTGTTCCTCTGCAGTGACAAAGTCTTCACACTTCCACATGTATCCTCACTCTTTTTGGGGGCAAGAGGTGATCTTTTCTGCACTCTCTGTATCTTGCCAAGCAGCAGTCAAACACTGCCAGACTGTTGAGGATAAAGTGCAGCTAATCACAAGGAAAAGGGCAGGCAGTTTTTGCTAATTAGATCTGTGAATGTCTGTGGAATAAAGAACAGTCTGGGCCTTGAGCTGTCAATTATTGAAGTTTCTTGGCAGATATTGCAGAATGTTTGACCTTACTTCAGAGTTTGACCACTAGATTCCCAAAGTTAACTTTTTAGTACCAAAGTTTTCTTTTAATCTGTGGTTTTCATATCAGTAACATTGGTAATGCCTCTTGTTTTGTAAGGTTTTTACTGACAGTTGAAACACAAAGGTGTCCAACCAGCTCACGTGGGAAAGTAAAGCACCAGCTTCCCATTTAGAGAGTAAGTGGCCCAGTCTGTGGGCCACTTACTCTCCAACCGGCCTACTCCTATAATACTTAACTAAACATCTGATAAATACTCTATATTACTCATCCATCGCTCCCCATATTTCCATATTAACAATTACACAGTATGTACAGTTAGATCCGAAGGTCAGTGAAGATAAGTAAATACATTTTCTAATTCCAGATGACAGAATCAGTTCTGTTAAATTACTGCAACACTTGAGCTAGATGGACTTGATAAAGACATTAAACATGATAATCAGTTTTATC